TTTCATTATAAATATGTCTTTTGTTATTAAATTCAGTATAAAAAAAAATGTATTCACTTTTATTTATAGATAACAATACAATTTATTGATCTCAATGCTGAAATAATTTCAGTGTTCAATTAATTCCTTAATAGTTAACTTTAATTTTATGTAATATTTTGTAATCCAACAATAAATATATATGTTAGTGTTAAAAGAGTTTTTATTTTTTTTAAATTAATAATTGATTTCTCTATTTAAATATTTTACAATATTATATAGAATAAATTTAGTGAAATAGTATAATAAGAGCAATTTATAATTTTTCTAAAATTAATTTTTATTTCAAGCTGGTTTGAATATTTATTACTCAATTATATATAGGAAACCTTTTTAAGTAAACATATATCAGACAAAAAATTGTTGTTATAATTTAACTACTTTTTTGTACTAAATGTTTATGGTATATATTTTTAGCTAATAATATACTTCATAAAGTTTTCATATGTGCAAATAAAGTAATATAGATTAAAACCTTTTATTTTTTGCTCCTAATTCTTCCAATAATAGAAATAATAAAATATATTTTATTCCTTTAAAAGTTTATTTAAATTTTGTTGAGAATCTGTATATCCTTGTTTAGCAGATTTTTTGTACCAATAAATTGCATTATTAATATCCTTTTTAACTTCACTTCCATTTTCATACATCCAGGCAAGACTATATTGAGCTGTACTATTTCCTAAATTTGCCGCTTTTTGATATAATTCAAATCCCTTCTGCTTATTAATATTAGTTCCAATTCCATCATAATAGCATCCTATTAAGTTAAGCATTGCAGTTGTATTTTCTAAATCTGCTGCTTTTTGATATAATTCAAATGCTTTTTGTTTATTAACATTGGTTCCAATTCCCCATTTATAACAATAACCTAAGTTATTTATTCCATATGAATTCCCTAAATCTGCTGCTTTTTGATATAATTCAAATGCCTTTTGGTCATTGACATCGGTTCCAATTCCATTTTCATAACAATAACCTAAATTATTGTATCCATATGCATAATTATCATCTGCTAATTTTTTTGATAATTCAAAAGCTAAATTTTTGTTTTGAAAACTTTTTCCAAAAATATATTCATTAGAAAGATTAAATTGAGCTACAATATTTTCTAATTCTGCAGCTTGTTGATATAATTCAATTGCTCTTTGTTCATTAACTTCAGTTTCAATTCCATAATAATAAAAATATCCAAGTAAACAAATAGAATTTGATTTACTTTGGTCATTTAAGAGGTAATTGTATAAAACTATTTTATGATTATTAATAAAATCAAGAATATGTTTCTTTATTACTATTTTATCTTCTCCTTTATTTAGTTCCTTAAAAATAAGGTCAACCAATTCATCAATTAAAATACTTAAATCTCCTTCAAAAATATAATCAATCATAATAGGTTCGATTTCTTTTAAATTCATTTTATCAAAATTTTGAATTATATAAGAAAATTCATGTAATAAATTATTAGTGATTGAAAAATTGTTAGTTTTAGAATCAATTTGTTTATTAGACATTGTAAAATAATTCAAGAATAAGGAAAAAGAATTTTATTTTTATTTTTTTTTTCACAACATATTTATATTAGTAATAGTGTTTTGTTGATCAATTTTTATGTATTTATATCAAGTATTTAAAGTTAGTGCAATTGCTGATCATTTGTTTCAAAGTAATAAGAAATTCAGATCACCAGTTGTAATAACTATGTAGTAATAAATGCTATTTTTACTTACCTAAATGCTTTATTCTATCTACTTGTTAGAAGTGTTAAATGATAAATGATAAGTAACTTATTTACACCTATAAAAAAAGTATTTATATTTTTAGTAAGAATTATATTAAATTCTGATTTATTATGTAATATTATATTTCATTTTTCTTTATTTTTTATATTTCCCTTCCTAGTGTATAAGACAAATGTCTTAAAAATACAAATGGTTCAAATGACAAAATATAAATAATCTGGATCATTTGAAAACAATGTAAATAATGTTGGTCAGCATACTAATTCTGGCTTACATTACACTTTATTTTCAACAAAAATTATGTAATAAGATATTGATCAAAAGATAAAAATCCTTTAAATAGTCAAATGGCCAAGTTTTTTCTAAATTCTGTTATTTAAAATACAGATTTTATATTTTCTCATGTCCCTCATTATAACAAAGATGTCTTTTATTATATAAACTCTGTATTTGTAACTTAAAAACAGTATGTTAGTCTTAAAAGAATTTTGATTTTTGGTAAAGATTTATTTAATTAAATATTTTAAATATTATATAGAATAAATCGGGATTTAGTAAGATAATGTGATAAAAGCAAATAAGCAATCATAATTTTCTAAAAATAAGTATTTTTAAATAAATTTGCTGGTTTAGATTTATATTGCTTACTTATATGAAACTTTTTAATTTAATGGAAATAAGCATGTCTTGGATATTAGACAAAAGCCTGTTAAATAATATTTGTTATCCAGCCAAGTAGGATCATGTCATTTTATCAAATTGATATCTTTTAGATAAACCATTATAGCAGACATTTTTGATGCATTACTATATTATTTAGATCAAATATCACATATAATAGTTTTATAGGCAAAATACCTAACTATTATTTACTATGCTAATTAATAAGCTTGTAGAGTTCATTTAATATTTTACTAATTTTGAACATCTGTATAATAATACAGTTATTTATATGGCAGCTGAAATATCATCCATAATGCTTCAAAGTTCAGTGATATGTTAACTTCCCTACCAATATATTATTTATTGAAATTTAATGCTTTTTGTACCAAATGTTCATGATATTTATTTAATAATATACTTTTTAAAGTTTTACATGTGCAATAATAAAGTATAGATTTTTATTCAATTTATTATCTAATGAAGTAATAATTACAAAATAATTTAGATTATGAATTATTTTAAGACCCCCTTATTTTTTACTTCTCATTCTACAAATAATAGAAATAATAAAATATATTTTATTCTTTTAAAAGTTCTTTTAATTTTAGTTGAGCTTCTGTATGTCCTTGTTTAGCAGATTTTTTGTACCAATAAATTGCATTATTAATATCCTTTTTAACTTCACTTCCATTTTCATACATCCAAGCAAGACTATATTGAGCTGTACTATTTCCTAAATTTGCTGCTTTTTGATATAATTCAAATCCCTTCTGCTTATTAATATTAGTTCCAATTCCATCATAATAGCATCCTATTAAGTTAAGCATTGCAGTTGTATTTTCTAAATCTGCTGCTTTTTGATATAATTCAAATGCTTTTTGTTTATTAACATTGGTTCCAATTCCCCATTTATAACAATAACCTAAGTTATTTATTCCATATGAATTCCCTAAATCTGCTGCTTTTTGATATAATTCAAATGCCTTTTGGTCATTGACATCGGTTCCAATTCCATTTTCATAACAATAACCTAAATTATTGTATCCATATGCATAATTATCATCTGCTAATTTTTTTGATAATTCAAAAGCTAAATTTTTGTTTTGAAAACTTTTTCCAAAAATATATTCATTAGAAAGATTAAATTGAGCTACAATATTTTCTAATTCTGCAGCTTGTTGATATAATTCAATTGCTCTTTGTTCATTAACTTCAGTTTCAATTCCATAATAATAAAAATATCCAAGTAAACAAATAGAATTTGATTTATTTTGGTCATTTAAGAGGTAGTTGTATAAAACTATTTTATGATTATTAATAAAATCAAGAATATGTTTCTTTATTACTATTTTATCTTCTCCTTTATTTAGTTCCTTAAAAATAAGGTCAACCAATTCATCAATTAAAATACTTAAATCTCCTTCAAAAATATAATCATTTATAATAGGTTCGATTTCTTTTAAATTCAATTTATCAAAGTTTTGAATTATTTGAGAAAATTCTTGTAATAAACTATTAGTAATTGAAGAATTGTTAGATTTTGAATCAATTTGTTTATTTGACATTGTAAAATAATTTAAGAATAAGGAAAAGATAACAAAAAGAATTTCATTTTTTATTTTTTTTTTCACAACATATTTATATTAGTAATAGTGTTTTGTTGATCATTTTTTGTGTATTTATGACAGATATTTAAAGTTAGTGCAGTGATTTTGCTGATCATTTGTCATAGTACGATTCAAAGTAATAAAAATCAGTTGTTTGGAAATATAAGAAATAAGAAAAATGAAGTATAATACTATTTAATAAATCAATGTTTGGCAAATTCACGACAGATATAAATAATCTAGAATAATGATAATAAGCACTATAATCTGACCTACATTACACTTTATTTTTCAGAAAAAATTATGTGATAAGATATAAACCCAATCAAAAATCAAAAAATAAATCCTTTAAATAGTCGTATGGTCTGGTCTTTCCCAAACACTGTTATTCAAAATACAGATTTACATTTTTCCATGTCTTTCATCATAGAAATATGTATAAAAAAAACCGTATTTACTTATTTTTATAGATAACAAAACAATTTATTGATTTCAATGCTGGAATAATTTCAGTATTCAATTAATTCCTTAATGGGTAATTTTTATTTTATGTAATATTTTGTAACCCAACAATAAGTATATATGTTAGTGTAAAAAGAGTTTTGATTTTTTAAATTAATAATTGATTTTTTATTTAAATATTTTAGAAAAACTGGTATTTAATAAACTAGTGTAATAAAGTAATTTATAATTTTCCTAAAATTAATTTTATTTCAAAGAAAATTTGCTGGTTGACAAATCTTTATTACTCAATTATATATAGGAAACCTTTTGAATGGAAATAAATAAACATAATTTGTTAAGTAATATTTATTGAATTTTAACTACTTTTTATACTAAATGTTCATGATCTATTTTTAGCTAATAATATACTTCATAAAGTTTCATAGATTAAAACCTTTTATTTTTTACTCATAATTGTACAAATAATAGAAATAATAAATATATTTTATTCCTTTAAAAGTTCATTTAAACTTAATTGAGCTTCTGTATATCCTTGTTCAGCAGATTTTTTGTACCAATAAATTGCATTATTAATATCCTTTACAACTTCACTTCCATTTTCATACATCCAAGCAAGACTATATTGAGCTGTACTATTTCCTAAATTTGCTGCTTTTTTATATAATTCAAATACCTTCTGCTTATTAATATTAGTTCCAATTCCTTCATAATAGCATTCTATTAAGTTAAATATTGCAGTTATACTTTCAAAATCTGCTGCTTTTTGATATGATTCAAATGCTTTTTGACTATTGATATCAGTTCCAATTCCATTTTCATAACAATAACCTAAATTATTGCATCCATATGCATAATCATCATCTGCTAATTTTTTTGATAATTCAAAAGCTAAATATTGATTTTGAAAACTTTTTCCAAAAATATATTCATTAGCAAGATTAAATTGAGCTACAATATTTTCTAATTCTGCAGCTTCTTGATATAATTCAATTGCTCTTTGTTCATTAACTTCAGTTTCAATTCCATAATAATAAAAATATCCAAGTAAACAAATAGAATTTGATTTACTTTGGTCATTTAAGAGGTAATTGTATAAAACTATTTTATGATTATTAATAAATTCAAGAACATGTTTTTTTATTATTATTTTGTCTTCTCCTTTATTTAGTTCTTTAAAAATAAGGTCAACCAATCCGTCAATTACAATACTTAAATCTCCTTCAAAAATATAATCATTTATAATAGGTTCGATTTCTTTTAAATTCAATTTATCAAAGTTTTGAATTATTTGAGAAAATTCAAGTAATAAATTATTAGTGATTAAAGAATTATCAGTTTTAGAATCAAATTTGTTTATCAGACATTGCAAAATAATTTAAGAATAAGGAGAAAAGATAACAAAAAGAATTTTTTTTTTTTCACAACATATTTATATTAGTAAGTGTTTTGCTGATCATTTTTGTGTATTTATAGCAGATATTTAAAGTTAATGTGGCAATTTGTTGATCATTGACCCAAGTTGTAATTATTTAATAGACGCTTATATTGTCTACCTAAATGAAGCAGCAATTATAACATACTTTATTTTTCCATTTATAATTGTTAGATATACTAGATAAATAATTTAACCCTATAAAAAAAAACAAGTACATAAAACATAATTCTCAGTGTAATTAATATAGTAAGAAATATAAGAGATAAAGAGAAATGAAATATAATTTAGATTAATATTGATTAGAAACAATTCTGGCTTATATTACACTTTAATTTTTTTTTGTTTTTCAAATAAAATTATGGGATAAATTATTAACTAATTGAAATCAATAGACAAAATTTAAAATTTCTTTAAATGAACAAAATTACCACACAAATCCTGTTATTCAAAATATAAGATTAGTATGCATTTTCCATATTTCTTATTATAAAAAGATGCTTTCAGTATACAAACCCAGTATAAAAAATGCATTAACTTTTTTATAGGGTAATAAAAATTACAACAAAAGTGTCAAAATAACTTCAGTATTTTGATTAATTTCTTAATAGGTAACTTTAATTCTGCTTAAGATTTGTAATCCAACAATTAATATGTTAGAGAGATTTGATTTTTTGGTAAATAAATTAAATAAATTTAATAAATAAAAAAATGCCAATGTATTTGTCAAACTGTTTACGAACCATAACTGAATAGTTAATTCTAGCCCAGTCCTGTCTCTTATACACATCTAGATGTGTATAAGAGACAGCTTTAATTCTGCTTAAGATTTGTAATCCAACAATTAATATGTTAGAGAGATTTGATTTTTTGGTAAATAAATTAAATAAATTTAATAAATGTATTGCGTTCTTTATTTAAATATTTCAGTTTTAATAAGGTGGTTAAAAGCAATTTATAATTTTCCTAAAAATATTTTTTTAAAAAAAAAAAAAATTCTGGCTTAAATCTTTTACCCAATAATATAGAAGACTTTTTAAAGTGAATGGAAATAAGCATATTTTAGACATGTTTTTTAGCTAATAATATACTTTATAGTTTCACATATGGTAATAAGGCATAGGTTTTATTTAAATAAAGTAATAAATACAAAATAATTTGTATAAATAAATAATTATAAAACCATTTATTTTTAATCCCAATTCTTCCAACAATATAATTTATTTCTTTGAAAGTACTTTTAATTTTAATTGAGCACCTGTATTTTCTTGTTTAGCAGATTTTTTGTACCAATAAATTGCATTATTAATATCCTTTTTAACTTCATTTCCATTTTCGTACATCTTAGCAAGATAATATTGAGCTGCACTATTTCCTAAATTTGCTGCTTTATGATATAATTCAAATACTTTCTGTTTATTAATATTAGTTCCAATTCCTCCATTATAACAACTTATTAAGTTAAATATTGCAGTTATATTTCCTAAATCTGCTGCTTTTTGATGCAATTCAAATGCTTTTTGTTCATTAATATTAGTTCCAATTCCTTCTCTATAACACCAACCTAAGTTATTTATTCCATATGAATTCCTTAAATCCGCCGCTTTCTGAAATGATTCAAAAACTTTTTGTATATTAACATCAGTTCCAATTCCATCATAATAACACCAACCCAAGTTATTTAATCCGTTAATATTTCCTAGATCTGCTGCTTTTTGATATAATTCAAATGCTTTTTGGTTATTAATATCAGTTCCAATTCCATTTTCATAACAATAACCTAAGTTATTACATCCATATGCATAATTATCATCTGCTAATTTTTTCGATAATTCAAAAGCAACGCGACTGTAATAGGTTTCAAGGACTTTTCTAGAAGTATATTCATTAACAAGATTAAATTGAGCTACTCTATTTTCTAAATTTGCAGCTTTTTGATATAATTCAATTGCTCTTTGCTCATTAACTTCATTTTCAATTCCATAACAATAAAAATATCCAAGTAAACAAATAGAATTTGAATTACTTTGGTCATTTAAAAGGTAATTATATAAAGTTATCTTATGGTTTTTAATAAAATCAAGAACAATTTTTTTTACCACTATATTATCTTCTCCTTGATTTAGTTCCTTAAAAATAAGGTCAACTAATACATCAATTACAATACTTAACTCTCCTTCAAAAATATGATCGTTTATAATAGGTTCGATTTCTTTTAAATTCATTTTATCAAAATTTTGAATTATTTGAGGATTGTTAGTTTTCGAATCAATTTGATTATTTGGCATTGTGAAATAATTTAAATTTGAGGAATTAAAAAAAGTTTTAATATTTCACAACATATTTATTTATATAATACCGGTTTGTTGATCACTTTTTGTGCCTCCATAGTAAATATATAAAGCTAGTATAATTTGCCGATCAGTGGTGATTAAGCAGGAAAAAATTCTTTGAAATAAATCCAATAAAAATTTCAGTTAACCATTCTAACCAAACAATTATGAATAGTGGAAAAAATTTTTATTTTATAGATTAAACATTTATTTAAAAAAAAATTGCTAGGGAGCATAAAGCACGTACAGTATATAAACATAAAATAAGCATAGAATAAAATAACACATAGTAGAAACAAGATGGTATAATCTCGGAAATTTCTTCATTATACTAAAAAACTAAATGACCATTCAATTATTTTACTGATACTAAAATATTATTAACAATAACTTACCCTGATTTATATTACAAAAAGCCATATTTACTTTCTGGATTCCTACAGACCCTGAGCAATATATAAATAGGTCATAGGAAATTAGCAAAAATTAATTTACTATTAGCTCTACGCATTTTTTCAGGGCCAGAATTATGATAATGTCAGTCAGATATTAAAATAAGTAATAAAATTTTGACCAACATTATCGAAAATTATCCGTTACCTATTTCAGTGTTGCTCGTCCTACTCCTTTAGCTCTTTTAAAGTAAGAAAAATGATCACGTGTCTGAGTTTCCTCGGAATAAAAACTAGAAAAATGATCATTTACCGGAATTTTTTCCAGAATTTTTTTGCATTTTAATTCGGTAAAACGTAAACGATAGGAATTGGAAATAATTTTATGATACTAATAACACATTTGACTATAGGAAAAAGTTAATTTTATTTTACATTTAAAGTTAATAGATTGACTTCTTAAGTACATTGCAGATTTAATCATGCAACTTAAAGGTCTGCTCATAATGAATGGCACCAGGGTCATTTATTCTTACTGGTCCGATGTCTGGTGATTTCATAATTTTTGTTGGATACTATAATTGGAATTTTGCCATTTATTAGTTCTCATTTATCAATTATTTCAAATATGAAGTATCAGCAGCTGTCTTGCCAACAATCTTTCATTAACTCAATATATCCTTCAAGTGCATTAGTCTACATATGATGAGGATTTACTTATTTCACCCTTGTTTACCAGACAAATTTCACAGAAATTTATGGATATCTCTTACCAGCTAGATTCCCCATGGAATCAAGTTAATCACCATATCATGAAATAATCATCGCAATCTTATCAAAGCTTCTTAATCGTAAATTGATGATGAAATGGAAAAATTGAAAAACAATGACAGTTCACTTTTGGTTAGCTATTTGAACCGATTGCAAACTGAATTAAAATAATAAAGAATTATTAAATTTATTGTAGTAAAATCAGAATTTTCTTTGATTAATGAGACTTAGACATTTTACTTCATTCTTTTTTTTCATAAAATTTATTCCATTTAATAGAAAAGAATTAACTTCGTTTGTTGTTTCCCTTTGATGAATGTGCAAATAATATGATTGCAATATTACTACATTTTTATCTTAAGAAAACGCTCATTTACTAGACACAATGTTGAATAAATTAACAGACCATGCAATAATTTCTATTGTTGAAATCAAAATATAAAAGTTTATTTATTTTTTATAATATAATAATTGTTTATTAATAATAAAACATATTTATCATAAAACAGCTGAAAATTACTTATAATGTAACGATATAATTACCCATCCAATAACATAATCACATAGACCGCCTATCACTCTATAAATTAAAACAACATACGATTTGCAATAATGCTTGCATCACAAACCTCTTAATGGAAATAATGGAAATCCTTATGTTGAAAATGATGACACCGTATATAAATCTTTGCTTCTGATTGTGCGCAGAATTATAAATATTTGAAGAAATTAAATGATTCAATTTTGGATGTACATAGTTAGTAGTTGATTAAGAAAGTTATCGTTATCCAATGTATACTAAATATCTAAGTAGTAGAATAGTGCGACAAATTTAACGAATTCCTTCTTTGAACAACTCGAAAGATTCTACATGTAGAAGATTCTAATCAGAAATATTAAGTAGTCAATTTAAAACTGTATCTTAGAAGTTAGAAATAAATTCTTTAACAAGAAGGATATAGTTAGACTCTCTTCGACCGGCGTAGAATTATTATTCCATCAAATAGAAAATTTATTAACCGTTTAGTTAAATTTTAATCGTACACTTTTGGGGACATCAAAAAAAAATTGCAGACAAAAAAAAACAGGAAAGGATAACAAATTTATTAATAATTATTCGAAAAACTTCATCTATTAATTTTAAAACAATAAAACGTTTATAGATTAGAATCTATAAATATTAATAAGGTATTAAAACCTTCAACATATCTTTTGCTTCTTCAATTCCATTATCTAAAGCTTTTTTATACCAATAAATTGCTTTATCATTATTACTATCAGCTCCAATACCAAAATAATAACATGCTCCTACATAATTTTGTGCTATTGCATAACCACCTCCAGCTGCTTTCAGGTACCATTCAAAAGATTTTTTTATATCCTTATCTGTTCCTATTGCATTATAATAACAATAACCCAAATTGCATTGCCCATTCACACATCCAGCAATTGCCGATTTTGAGAACCATTCAAATGCTTTTGGTTTATTTTTATCTGTTCCTTTACCATGCTGATAAAATAATCCCAAATTGTTTTGTCCCATCGCATTTCCATTTTCAGCAGATTTAATATACCATTCAAACGCTTTTATTTCATTTTTATCCGTTCCTACACCATTTTCATAACAAAGCCCTAAGCTAACTTCTCCTTCAGCACATCCACTAATAACTGATTTCGAATACCATTCAAATGCTTTTGTTTCGTTTTTCTTTGTTCCCGTGCCAATTTCATAACAACGTCCCAAATTATTTTGTGCTATTGCATATCCATTACTCGCAGATTTAAAATACCATTCAAATGCTTTCTTTTCATTCTTATTTATTCCTTTACCATTTCTATAGCAACATCCCAAATGATCTTGTGCTTTTGAATTGTTTGATATCGCTAATTTTAAGGTCTTTTCAAACTCTAACCTTTCATCTTCACTACATTGAGTAGTCTCATTTTTACATTTTTCAGATTTTAAAAACCAGTCAAATGCCTTTTTCCCGTCCCTTTGCGTTCCTATTCCATCCATATAACATACTGCTAAATTATATTGAGCATCAGAATTTTCTCTTTCAGCTAAATTTAAAAATAATTCAAAAGCTTTTTTATAATTAGATTTTGTACCTTTTCCATTTTTATAACAGATGGCTAAATTATACTTTGCTTCTAAATTGTCATTTTCAGCTAATTTTAAGAGATTTGATAATTCATTTTGTTTAAAATTAATATCTAAAATAATATCTTTATAATAAAATAAAGATAATAAATATTTTCCTATAATAATATTTTTATATCTTAAAACATTAAATAAATCATTATCATCATCATATTCTTCAATAAAATTTAATTCATTAAAATAATAATTACTTAAATAATTTTTACCTTTTATATTATCAATAGATAAATAATATGATTCAATAGATTTTTTCTTATCAAGATTACAACCAATACCAAATTGATAAAAAAATCCTATAGAACTTGTGAACCAAATGATATTATTATCATGATTTTCCATTAACTTAAGAATTTTTTCAGGATTTTTATTATTATTTTTAATATAATTATTTATCCATTCATTTGTAATATTTTCAAAATTATTGATATCATTTATTTCAATAATTCTTTGATAAAACTCTTTTAAAAAATTCTTTAGAAAATTCTCATCATCATCTTTAATAATAATATTTGTTTTTGCTTCGTTAACAGATAATGAGTTGGATGAGTTGAACGACATTTTTTATTTTACTTTTTTTTTTAAAAAAAAAAAATTTCGTTAAAGTGATAAACTTTTATTTACGTCATGCATATAATTACACTTGTGAAACAATAATTTAATTTATCACGTGATGTGTGTAAAGTGGGTCTGGTACGAGACCGACAGGTACAAAAGACTGACACATCTAGGCAGGATTATCCATAATGCGGGCCAGCATGTCGGTCTTTCGTACCTGTCGGTTTTTTGATTGTTGGTCTTTTGATCGGGTCTCGTGTAAAGTACGCCAGATAGCAGTAAATAATAATTTAGACTACTCATTGCTTGAAAATATAAGAAGTGTCTAGTAAATAGAAAAATTTATTTTTATTTCTGTTTATTAAATTTTGGTCAATAAATAATCATAATTTATTAGTAACTTAATGATCTCAAATTCCTTGATATTGTTCAATAATATTATTAAAATATCTTAAACTAAAAGAAAAAAATAAATAAAATAAAACAGTAAAAAAAAAAATAATTGATCATAACCAGTTAACGTCAACCACCTACTTTCCATATTGATAAGAAATATTATTTGAAACGATGATGTATATAAATTAAATTTCGAAATTTTTATCTGTTTTGGCTCTGCTGTCACGTACAATTTATTAAAAAATATGATTGGTTCTTATCATCAGTATAATTGCCAATTATTAATAGATCAACATTATTTTAACAAAGAAATTGATAATCCTGATGCATTAGTCCATAAAATCGGATTAACACGGACCCCCTGCTGTACTACAATCCTGCACCTATTAAAATATAGGAAATTACGCCAATTATTTGCTTCAATTGTTTGATTTTTCCATTTTCCATAAGGGGTTTTATTTTTCTATAATACGTTACCATCTTTAGCATTGTGTACATATGAAAAACATATATACATACTACATAAATTTGCCATTCTTAGTCAAATATAGTTAAAAATATGACCTAGTAATTTGTAATATTCGTATTTTTTTCAACTAATTTATATAATTAATTGTTTCGTTTTTTTTTTTCAGATCAATTTATTTTAAATAAATATTTTTTACATTTAATATGCTGATTCTATATAATTTTTTTTTGACGAGACACCAATCTATAAATTAATTATTAAAAATTTCTTATATATACTCATTTCTGCAAAAGCTTCTTCCTTCACATTCACAAGTTTTAGCATTAATAAATTCTCTTTTTATGAATATTTTAATGAATACTACTAAAAATTTAATAAGCTAAAGAACAGCCAAAATTGATACAGTACTTTGTTTAGAAATCAAATTTTTCAAGCCTTTCAAAAAATGTTCAGTTAACTCTGATATGATATTTATCTTCGTATCGTATTAGACCTAGAGCTTAATGAAACAGTAAAAAAAAAATTGCAAGAAACAATGTAACAACCACATTGATGAAACTCCATCTGATTAGAATGGACCTTTTGTAATAAGCTGTGAAGTGCTTGAAAAAACTAAGGCATAATTTCCACACAGTAAATTTTAATATGTTGACAAGTATAAAGAATCTAAAATAATAGAACTTATCAAGACTGAAATAAAAACTACAGAGAGCAGAAATAATTCCATTAACATAATAATAAGATTATTAAAATAATATGATCAAAAAATTTTTTCAAAATCTTATAGAAACAACAAAAATAATAATGAGATTTTGTTAATTTGGTCAATTTGTTTACTTTACAATCAATAAGCTCATGTAGAAAGGATAATCTGTGAGAATTAGAAGATTAGAAAGAAAATTAGATATTGCAACATATTATCAACTACTAAAGTTGCTACTTAAATATTTAATAGTATTATGTAATAATACTTTCAGTGATGAACTTTTATCTGTATCACGTAATTTGATATTTTTGCAAAATTATTGCTTCATTAAATAAAGTATTGATGTATGGTAATGTGACACAGTTCAGTTATTAATTTTTTACATGTCTTCAAAATATAAAATGGGTGAAATAATTTGTCCATTTAATTAATCCATAATCTGCTTTCTATATTTCAGTGATGAGATCAAAAAATTATGATAGATGTAACATATTTTGAATTCTGTCTACTAATAAACTGCTCTTAATAAATAAAATAGAAGAAATAGAAGAAATGTTAGTAATTATTAAATTTTCTGAGTTAATTTACACGTTCCCAAACTCTTCAAGTCTTAGTCCAAAATAAACCCTAAAAAGAAACATTTATTCAGCAGTTTAAACATTCCTTCTTTGCAATTGCTAAAGTCAATGGTCATTCCACTTTAAATTTAACATCCGTCTTAAACAAAAATAGTCATGTGAAAACCTTGTCACATGATCACCTTTGATTTTACTATTTTGATTTGATCCTCAGTTCTCAATGAACCTTAATTAGTTTCACGTTGAAAATAAAATAAAAACAAAATCAATGAACCTTAACCTGTAAATACATGCGAGTACTACAAAATGTTGCCTTCGATTTGTAATTTTGTATCAACTTTAAAATTATCAAAGACGCCAATTGGAACAATTTAGGCCCAAGTGATAAAGATTTATCAAAAGTGGGCAAAAATCATACTCGATTCCTACACTTTTCTTCAACTCTAGGTAATACTTCACTACTCCCTTTCAATTCTCATTTTAATCATACTGATACCACCTGATATTAGTAAAATCTTTGTCAAAGGTTCGCGAGTAAATGTTTAGATCATCAAGGTAGACTACAACGAATTTTCCAAATTCGTAGTGGATCACTTCATCCATAAGGCGTTGAAAAGTTGCGGGCGCCCAAAGGGTTTCAAAATCAAAGTTTCTGCTAACAACTCCCTACAAACTGACAAATCTGTATAAATAAATCATATCATTTTTATATAATGACAAGATTAAATGTTTATAATCTGTTTGTTGCTTTTTTATTGCACATCATGTAATAATATAATTTATCTACAAATTCTTAAAGTCTGCTGCATCATTAAAAAAATTCACATATACATTGCTTTATATTTCCAGTTATGTGACGAAACCAATGCTAATAATGACAATAAAATTTTCAAATACTCCTAATGTTTAACAGTAAACTATCTATATATATTAACTAGGCAATCTGCCAAAAAATTTTGGAATATGGAATCTAAGCATGTATTAGCCCCTATAAAAAAAGAAAATTCGGAATTTGTCCTGAAAAGTATGGAAAATGTCCGGAAATTTTCCGTGCGTCCGGAAAACATTCGGAAACGGTCACGTTTTGGAACACTTTCCGGACGCACAAATGCCAGACATTTTCTTGACACTCCAGAATTTGTCCAGAATTTGTCCAGAATCGAGCGTCCGGAAAATGTTCCAAAACATGACCGTTTCCGAATGTTTTCCGGACGCACGGAAAATTTCCGGACATTTTCCATACTTTTCAGGACAAATTCCGAATTTTCTTTTTTTATAGGGTTAGTAAAGATATAAAACAATTAATTTATAAATTATTTAAATAATTTGATTACTACTATTTAGGTAATACTTCAAACTAAATATATTTTAATTGCATAAAATTTATAAGAAATATAAGACAAATATTGGCATCTGTTTATGATATCACATTAGTAAATAAATAAAATGCATTAATAATTAAATTCACATTTAAAGCAGCAATAAAATAAGTTTATTATAGTTAACTGTCAAACAAAAAACCTACATAACATAGATCAAGTAAATTTAGCTAAATTATACTCTCTTCTAAAATATTCAATAAACCTCAAAATTTGATAACCTTTAATAGAAAATTTGTATTACAAATTGTTTATTATACTGAGTTTGCTATAAAGTTTATTATAATTCATTGCTCTTAAATTTTTTTTTCAATTTGTCTTCACCACATTGTATCCTTACACAGCAGTCATACATTAAGCCAAAACAGTTGGGCTTCTAAATTTTCTGCTTTTTGATATAATTCAAAAGCCTTCTGTTTATCAATATTAGTTCCAATTCCCTTTTCATAACACCATCCTAAACTATTTATTCCGTCTAAGCTTTCTAAATCTGCTGCCTTCTGATATAATTCAAAGACCTTCTGTTTATTGGTATCAGTTCCAATTCCTTCATAATAACACCAACTTAAGTTATTTATTCCACTAACATTTCCTAAATCTGCCGCCTTTTGATACATTTCAAATGCTTTTTCTTCATTAACGTTAGTTCCAATTCCATTCTCATAACAAATACCTAAGTTATTTATTCCAAATGCATATTCTTTATTTGCTAATTTATTGGATAATTTAAAAGATAAATTACCATCTATTTCGATATATATTTCAGCAAGACATAATTGTGCCACTTTATTTTCCAATTCTGCTGCTCTTTTATATAATTCAATTGCCCTATGTTCATTAAATTTAGTTTCAATTCCATAATAATTGAAATATCCAAGCAGATAAATAGAATTTGAATCATTTTGATTCTCTATAAGCCAATTATAGATTTGTTGTTTGAATATCATCTGATTATAAATATAATCAAGAACTTGCTGTTTTATTACATTTGCTTCTTTCCCTTTATTTAGTTCCTCAAAAATAAGATCAACCAATTTATCAATAACATTATTTAAATTTTCTTCAATAACATTTTTGTTAAAATTTTTTATTGTAGGTTCCATTTCTTTTATATTTATTTTATTAAAATTTTGAATAATTTTAGAAAATTCATTTAATGAATTATTATCAGTATTTGATAAGTCTAGTACATTATCTGAATTATCAAACATTTTAAAATAATTTAATTATCAGGAAAGAAATCAAATAAACTATTTGTGTAATTTTTTCTATAACATATTGAATTTATAAGGTTTATGGTAATACAGTACACTGCATTAAATTTTGAGTCACCGCGGTTTGATATGCATTATGCAGGTAGTACAAGCCTACTGTATATTTATCTTAGTTCGTTAAAATCTAAGTTGTTTTGTTTTAAATGAAAAAAATGAGTTTTATATAATTCGCAGGATTAACATTTTTTTAATAAGTTATTA